CAGGGAAGCTTTTGCTCAAAACAAATAAAATATTCATTCACTTGTAAATAAAACAGATCAGAGAACAGTTGTGGTTTCATGGAGGGGGTGGAAAAGCAGTGGGAGGCTATAGCCTAACTCACTAGATTCTTTTCCCTTGGCTATCTGTGGAATTCCTTAAAAGTGGAAGATGATGGAAGAAGAGTGGTTCTGAGAAATGTCATGTGAAAAAGGACTCAACCTGGTGTTACTGGTTTTGAAGATGGAAGAACGGGGACCACAAGCCAAGGAATGAGGCAGCCTCTAGAAGCTCAGAATTGCCCTCAGCTTACAACCAGCAAGAAAGCAGGGACCTTGGGCTTATAACTGCAAGGAAATGAATTCCACCAACAGCCCAAATAAATAAAAAAGATTTTCCCCATAATATGCTGAAAAAAAAAAAAAAAAGATTTTCCACTAGTCTCCAGAAAGGAATGCAGCCTGCTAACACCCTGATTTTAGTCTGATGAGACCTGTATCAGCCTTCTGACCTGCACAACTATAACATGATCAATTTATGTTGTTTTAAGCCACTAAGTATGTGGTAATTTGCTCCAACTAGAAATAGAAAACTAACATACAGGTCCAGACCATTTTAATATTTTGACCACATCTCCACCTTGTCCTATCACCATTCAAGTTTCTGGCGCTTATCATTGTTATAGAATACATATGTCCAGATGTAAAAGATATAATCAAACGTTCAGCATTTTAAAATTGGCAATATGCTAAATGACTTCAAATATTGTGCATAAAGTAAATTCTGCCAGTGTTTCTAGAAATCTGCCATATTTTCATTTGGGGGAAAAAAAGAAATTTCACAGCCAGGTATGGTGTGGCTCATGCCTATAATCCCAGTCAGTGCTTTGGGAGGCTGAGGCGGGATGATTGCTTGAGGCCAGGAGTTTGAGACCAGCAATACAGTGCAATTCCGTTTCTACCAAAACCAAACAAACAAAACAAACAACAACAACAAAAACCCACTAGGCATAGTGGTACACACCTGTAGTCCCAGCTACTCAGGAAGCTGAGGTGGGAGGATTGCCTAAGCCCAGGAGTTCAAGGTTAAAAAAATTACTTTTTTTTCTTTTTTTTTTTTTAACAAAGAGACAGCCTTGCTCTGATACTCAGGTTGGAATACAGTGGCGTGATCATACTTCATTGTAACCTCGAATTCCTAGGCTCAATTGATCTTCCCACCTCAGCCTCCTGAGTAGCTAGGACTATAGGCACACACCACCATGCTCAGCTAACTAAAACAACAACAAAAATTTCTTTTTGTAGAGATGAGGTCTCACTATGTTGCCCAGGCTGGTCTGGATCTCCTGGCCTCAGGCAATCCTCCTGCCTTGGCCTCCCAAAGCCCTAGAATTATACGCATGAGCCACCATGTCTAGCACATTATTTTTTTGGTATTATTTTTCTGAGTCAGGTACCTACTTCATTCTTGTTTTAAAAACAGATAACAGATTCCATAGCCATTGGATGATCTCAGATTTTTAGCCTAAGGATGTGAAAAGCATGTCCTGAATCAAATCAAGAGCTCTCCTTCCTTTATCAAATAACTGGCTTTCACAGAGATACTCACTTATTCAGATCAATTTCGTAAGTCTGCATATGAGGTTTATCTCCAGCCTTGTCTGGGTCCCATCGATAGATGGCAAATTTCTTGATCCGGGGAGCTGTGGCTGCAGCTGTCTGGGCCCCTCTACAGGACTGAAATTTTAACAAGTTCATAAAAAGGAAAAAAACATTAAAAATGCAAAATAACTCCATATAGCTAGCACAATAAATATAATACTGGATATGAAACCACAGATTACTGATACATAATCTTCCTGGGAAAGGTACAGTTACCCCATAGCCAATAAATATTAAAAGCACTTATCATATGCCAGACATGGTACAAGGGGCCGGTGATATAGCACCTAATAAAACAGACAAAACCTTCATCTTCACAGAACTTTGCAGTGAACAAGAGTGAAATTAAATATTCATAATAAAGTGTAAAGAGTGATACTGATGGGAAGGTACAGGGAGCTCTGGACAAATACAGCAGAGACTTAAATGTGTGTAAGAGGTCAGAGAAGGGCCCCCTTGAGTGCTGCTCAAGCTGAGGCTTGATGACGAGGGATGGAGGGGAAGGAGGATGCGGTGGTACAGGCCTGGTGGGGGGAGCACGGTGCACCTGTCAGAATCTAAGCACAGTCCAGTAGGACGAAGGTGGCTTGAGGAAGGATGGGAAAGCGGCAGATGTGAGGAAGAAAAGAAAGACTCGTGAGCTGAGTTTTGATTTTATCCTAAGAGCAATATTAACATAAAGTCTTAATCAGGGGAGTGACATAATCAAAAAAAATTTTTTTATAAAGGGTATCAGTGGTTATGAAGGGAGAATTTTCAGAATAGATGTGGGGAAACTGGTTAGGAAATTAAGGCAGTTTTATCAAAACAAGACACTGGTGTTTTAAAACTAGGACAGAAAACAAGATAAAAAGTACTTCGTCTGAACACAATATAAATTTAGGGAACTAACAAAGAGCCACGTTCTGTTCTCTTTAACGATTTATCACATCTCCCTAGAATTTACAGTCTCTGCCAGTAGGCTTCACACAGTGGGCCGAGGAATCTTGGAGCCACCTCAGGGGGTCAGGTTTAGTGGGTGGGCCTCCAACTTCCCTCCTTCCTTCAACCAGAACACATAAGAACACATTTGCAAAAAGGGCTCTTGCTCCCTCCAAAAGTTTTACATTTAAATTCATATCTATTTTTAAAGCCACTATTTATTATTGCTAGACACTGTATTAAATCCTTTATATTAATTGTTCCCCTGAATCTTCATTTTAAAGATGTGAAAAATGAGGTTCGGTGATCAATGATGGGCCCACGATGACAGAGCTCGTGAGTGAAGGAGCTAGGATTAGAACCCAGGTCTGCCTGATTCTAGAACCCATGTTTCTAAACATGTACTAGCCTATTTATTTGTGAATATTGTCAGGTCTCTTATTGGTGCTGTCTTCTCTTTTTGTCCTAAACTCCTGTAGGGCATGAAGCAGGTTGTATTTTACATTTCCCAGCACACCTTGTCCACACCTTTGCATATAGCAGCTCAATCCGTAGTTAGGAAAGATTGGAGAAAGGAGCAAAAGCTAAGCATTAGACTAACATAAAAATGTGATTTATTTAAATGTACCTTAAAAGGCCGAACATCAAGCCATTAACAAACAAAACAAAAACACCCCTCTCTATTTAGCGGTTACTCATGATGCTAAATCAGCATCTAAGCTGTCACCACCATTTTCCATAGTCCTCGAAGCCCCTTCCTGTTTAAGAAGATGAAACAAGGCAGAGATCACATCAAGACCTTGTGGCCTGGCGCGGTGGTTCACGCCTGTAATCCTAGCACTCTGGGAGGCCACGGTGGGTGGATCGTTTGAGCTCAGGAGTTCAAGACCAGCCTGAGCAAGAGCGAGACCCCGTCTCTACTAAGAATGGAAAGAAATTAATTGGACAACTAAAAATATATAGAAAAAATTAGCTGGGCATGGTGGTGCATGTCTGTAGTCCCAGCTACTCGGGAGGCTGAGGCAGGAGGATCACTTGAGCCCAGGAGTTTGAGGTTGCTATGAGCCAGGCTGACGCCATGGCACTCTAGCCCAGGTAACAGAGTGAGACTCTGTCTCAAAAAAAAAAAAACAAAAAAAAACCTTCTGAGCTTCTGCTATGGGGAGGAGGAGGAGAGAATCTGGTTAGTCCAAATGGCAATTATAAATTGAACCCTCAATTTTTATATAGAAATATTATGACTATAGTCCAGGCTTGCTAATTCTTTTATAAACTGTTAAAGAAAACAAAAACTTCAAAGGTTAATAGACTAATTACAAAAATGTACAATGGTGTTTTTCACTTGCTGATAAAAAGTGCCCCGAACTAACTGAAGCTGAATATATATCAGATATCAGTATGAAAGAAGAAAATGAAGATAAAAGCTGTGTTTTATCTTATCACCAAGCTGGCTGAGATCGTTAACAAAAGAAAAGCCTTTTCTACAAATGAATGTGTTTCACTAGAAACCCCATTTTGTAAAATGACATGAATGTTTGGCTAACGCCACCTTCTGGTATTTTAGAGGAAGTGAAAAGAGGAAGGATTAGCTACATATTAGCTCCATTAGCTCTAGCTGACTTCGCTTGCTTAATGCCCTCATCTTTTTTTGGCATTTAAAAAATATTTAAGGTATAATTCATTATGATAAAATTCACTAATTTTAAGTGTATAATGTGATGAGTTTTGACAAAGTAGTGTAACTCTGTCACAGTTATGACAGAACACTTCCATCCAGAAGGCCTCTAGTGCCACTTTACCATCAGTCCCCTCTCCCTGTCCTGGTAAATGACCAGCTTCCCATGGCTACAAATCTGCTTTTGATAGAATTCATATAAACGGCACCATACAGTATATAGTCTTGTGTCTAGCTTCTTTCATGCAACATAATGCTTCTGAGATTCATAAGTTACTGCGTATATCTGCAGTTTGTTGCTTTTTGAAAAAATTAACTTTTTTATTTCAAAATAATTGTAGATTCACGTGCATTTATAAGAAATAACACTGGCCGGCACGGTGGCTCACGCCTGTAATCCTAGCACTCTGGGAGGCCGAGGCGGGCAGATTGTTTGAGCTCAGGAGTTCGAGACCAGCCTGAGCAAGAGCGAGACCCCATCTCTACTAAAAATAGAAAGAAATTAATCAGACAACTAAAAATATATATAAAAAATTAGCCGGGCATGATGACATAGGCCTGTAGTCCCAGCTACTCGGGAGGCTGAGGCAGAAGGATCGCTTGAACCCAGGAGTCTGAGGTTGCTGTGAGCTAGGCTGACGCCACGGCACTCTAGCCCAGGCAACAGAGTGAGACTCTGCCTAGAGAGAGAGAGAAAAAAAAAAAGAAATAACACTGAAGCTGGGTGCATCGGTTTATGCCTATAATCCTAGCACTTCGGGAGGCTGAGGTGGGAGCATTGCTTGAGGCCAGGAGTTTGAGACCAGCCTGAGCAACACAGCTAGAACCCATCTCTACAAAAATTTAAAAACTTAGCAGGGCGCAGTGGCACGTGTCTGTAGTCCCAGCTACCTGGGAGGCTAAAGCAGGAAAAATGCTTGAGCCAAGGAGTTTGAGATTACAGTGAGCTATGATGATGCCACTGCACTCTAGCCTGGGTGACAGAGCAAGACCCTGTCTCTTAAAAGAAAGAAAGAAAAGAAATAAGCTGGCTATGGTGGCTCACGGCTGTAATCCTAGATAGAAAAAAATTAGCTGGGTGTGGTGGCGCATGCCTGTAGTCCCAGCTACTCGGGAGGCTGAGGCAGGGTTGTTTGAGCCCAGGAGTTTGAGGCTGCAGTGAGCTATGATCACTCCACTGCACTCTAGCCCGGGCGACAGAATGAGACAGTCTCAAATTAAAACAAAACAAAACAAAAACTGAGACCCCACCCACTCTTTACCCAGTTTCCCCCAGTGGGAACACCTTGTAAAGCTGTAGCACACCACCACAACCAAAATACTGACAGTGCTAGTCAAGATACAGGACATTCCCGCCACCACAGGACCCCTAACATGTGCCCTTTATGGCCACATCCACTTCCACCCTCCCTCCTCTACTCCTTAACCCCTAGCATCACTAATCTATTCTCCATTTCTCTAATTTTGTTATTTCAAGGACACTGTATTAATATAATCATCTAGTAGGTAGCCTATTGGGATTGGCTTTTTCCGTCCATCCAAGTTGCTGGGTACACCAATAGTTCATTCCTTTTTATGGCTGAGTAGTATTCCATGGTATGATGTACCACAGTTTGTCTGACCATGCAACCACTGAAAGACACTGGGGTTGTTTCCAGTTTTTGGCGACTGTGGATAAAGTTGCTGTGGATGTTTGTGGACGAGTTTCCGTGGAAACGTAAGTCTTCATTTCTCTGGATAAATGCCCAGGAGTGTAATGGCTGGGTTGTATGATAGCCACATGTTTAGTTTTTTAAGAAACTGAAACTGTTTTCTGGAGTGGGTGGTTGCTGTGCCTGAGGCAGACAGTAGGGGAAGTGGGACGATATGCCTTTTAAAAATAAGACTCCTTCAAGTTTTTTACCATCTAACTCGAAATTTAAACAGAATCTTGGACTCTGGAGTTCTTGGCTAAAACCTCAGAGTTCTAAAGCATGATTGAGTAGTATTGTCAGTGGGCAACAGGCTGGGTTTCACTCCCACAAGGCCTATCAGAGATGCCTATGGCTATTTCCGATGGGTCTTCTCTTCAACACCTCTTTCTAATCCGTTTCATGTCCGCTCTACAAAGAGACCCGATCATGTGTATCTTTCCAAAAGGGATTAGGTCTGTATTAGCACTGATTTAGGAATAATTTTAAAAGTCTTATCATATGAATGATGTGAGATAAAACCAATGCAAGAAAAAAAAAGAAGCCAGGTGTGGTGGTGCAGGCCTGTAGTCCCAGCTATTTGGGAGGCTGAGGTGAGAGGATCCCTTGAGCCCAGGAGTTCAAGAACAGCCTGGGCAACATAGGGGGACCTTGCCTCAAACAAACAAAAAAAAAGCAATTCAAGGATGTACCACAACTTAATCTTTTAAATCAATAAATCTCAACATATGTTTTTTTCCCAAAACAACTAATTTAAATTCATTTTGACTTAAAAATGTATTTTTTTTAACACCTGATGAGGTAAGGGGGAGCTTACTAGAATGAGGAGATAAGATACTGAAATCGAAATGATCAGAGGTCATTGTTGCTCATTTTTAAGTCTGTACGAGTTAAGTCTGTACGGGATTATGATACCTGTGATCTACCAAAAAATTCCCTGAATAGAAAAATTTAAGAATTCGTTACACAGATTTCATTCACTGAGCCCTTAGCATGTGCCAAATTATCTCCAATCTTTATGCCATCTCTATGAAAAACATTTTATCGTTTATTTTATTGTTCAAAGATGAGGATAGAGTGAGGATTCAAACACAGATCGCTTGATTCCAAAACCCAACATTTTAGCTACTATACCAGTAGTGAAAATGCAAATACAAAACAGAATAGCACAAAAAGATAATTCCTTTTCCCAAACAGATTCAAGGAACAGAAGTTGTTACTCTAAACATACAATCAGACTATATGATCTTTTCCTCTTGTTACTTAGGTCCAGCAATTTATACCACAAACGCACCATAGAATAGGGCCCTACAAAAGCATTGCTACCTAATCTACAAGAATAATGAGTGTTCAAGACAGAAAGTAGATTCTAAGAAAATCTTGGATAAGATTAATGTCACAGTTTATAACTCAAGCAAGGTAATCAACAACTGGACTGAGGAGAAGGGCGAGTTCTGGATGATACCGATGGCTAGTTGTTGTTCCTCTAGAAAGGCTTCCTTAGGGAGCAGGCTCGGAGCTAGACAGAGCAGATAGAGATTTGGGCAGGAGAGGAAGGCAGGGAAATGAAGAGAAGGAAGACAAAAAGTCTGTATGAAGATAAGCCTGAGGAAAATAGAAGGTGCAGGCTTGTTTCTGAAATGTGTGAGTTGGCACTGATTTAAATCCAAGCTCTATCACTTACTAGCTGCGTGTTCTTCAGCAAATTACTTAACCTCTCTGATTCTATTTCCTCCTCTGTAAAGGGGCAGGTTGTATTATCATCTACCTCTTAAGATAAATAGAGGGTCAAGTGCCTAGCATAGCCCAGAAAATAATTCTGCATTTCAATACTGGCAACATTATCGGTCTCTGCATTATATTATTCTGATTTGCAGATAGGTATCCTAGCCCTGCCAGCAATTGGAGCAATGAGGTGCACAACTCTAAGCAGGCGGTTATTGCCCTGAGTTCAGAGTCTAGATAAAGAAATAAGGCAACACAAACAACAGTTAATATATTACAGTTAAACACTTAAAGGTAGAACTGTGGTTCAGTGGTGCAGACTATATGCATAAAAGGAATTCAGAACCTGAACCTGAATATTACCCACAGGTAACACATTAAGTTCATTATTGGATTCTTTTGAGATGGCTTTTGTGGGTATAAACGTATATTCCCACAAGGAGGGGGGCTCTTCTATTTTTGTTGCCCTCAGGAGGCCCTGCAAAGGCCTTGCCTGGATTACAGCATTGACCTATGAAACTGGCCTTTTCTACAATTCGTTCATGGAAGAGGGGCCTAAGCTTTAGAACTCACTCTCATTGGTGGGGCTCTCACAACTTAACTGTTTGCTCAGCAACTATAAAAGGAACTGGTAAACAAGGTCATTATCAATCACCAATTTAATGCTCAGAGGACATTGGCTTGAGGCTCTGGAAGGCTGGCCTCTTCCTCTATCTTTCCTTTCCAGAAAGACTGATGCAGAGAGAGTGGATGACTTGTCCAAGTTGACATATAGCATGTTGGAGAGAGGTAGGATTAGGGCATTGGCAATATGTACCGTGTTAGGCAGCCACAGCAGGTACAGAGAGATATCCTTATGTAAGTGCAAGAGGGGGTTCTGCTTGCCCACCTTGTTGAAAAGCCATCAAGAGGAAACAGACTTGAAAGGGATTTGTAAATCCTTAGTCCCTTAAGCATGCAATGGCAATTTCCCTTCTCCTTACAAATGTTCCCATTTAGAATGTAGACTGAAGTGTGTAGTCTCTTGACGACACTAGGGGCGTGGGAAAAATCTATCACTGCATATTGAATAGTATAAATAAGAACAGCGCCCAGCTCTGTGCCCATGCCAAGTCTATGAGCTCGGTATTATTATGCGTCCCTACGGTCAGGAACACTGAGAGGATATCAGTGAAACTGTGAGTGACGCTGCTTTAAAGGACCCAGTCTTTCTGCAGCCCCGCAGTCCGGACCCTTCAGCGGGCTGGGTGCATTTCCCTCCATCTCTCCCTCTCCCTGCCCTGTCCCCAACAATTCACCCCTTTCCTTACGCGTCCAATCCCGGTCCGGTCCCTCTTCACTGAGTCCTTAACCTTGGACCTCGAACCTCGGAGGAGTGACATTGCTTCCCAGTTCCCATCCCTCACACCACACGGGCCTCCCTTTTCCGCAGAGGCGATAGATTGGTGGCAGAAGGGCTTGGGGCGCCAAAGTGTGGATTCGAATTCCTGTTCCGACAGTCATTCGCTTGCCATCTGACCTTGAGCAATTCAAGTCCCTTCTTTGAACTTCTTTTTTTTTCTTATCCCTAAAAAATTGCCTCCGTCCTGACTAACTGACAGGCTGCTGTGGGGCGCAGACGGATAACTGACAGGGATGCTCCAAGCCAAACTCAAGCACTGCGCAGATGGGAGGAGGTCCTCCCTCTTCCTGCGGCCATGCCCACTGCTCCCTTAGCCTCTCCGCGGTCCCCTCAGCTCTAGGCAGCCTCCGTGACTTTCCTGCCTCTTCTTTCCCCTCGGCTCCGGGGCTTACCTGTAGGAAGGCTCCGCCAAGGGTTGTCGCCGGAAACCGGCGCCTCAAGGAGAGTCCGATCACCGCCGCCATCTTGGCTCCTGACGTCAGCCCCACCCCTTAACCCTGAGGTCGCGCTCCGCCGACGTCCCGTCGAACACCGCGGGCCTTCTAGCCGCGTAGGAGCCACCGAGTGGGAGGCCACTTTCGGTTTTCCGGGCGGGAGGAGGGAACGCAGAGCAAGCCAAAGCGAGCGTGCGCAGTAGCTGTCAACGCGGCGCATGCCCATTTGGCCTCTCGCGTTCCCAAGGTGACCTTCCCAAAGGGGGAGGAGTCTGAGGGGGAGGGCGGCCTAAGAGGGGTGGGGCTAAAACTAAGAGGGGGTGGAACCTCCAGCCGAATCCCTGCCCTGATTTTAACCCCTTTCTTCCTTAAAAATATGTCAGTCTTATCACTCATCTCTGACATTTAGTGGCTTCAGTTAGACATTTCTGCCACATACAATGCAGTTTGCTCGAGACTGTCCAGGTCTTCGCACTGAGAGTCCTGGGCAAATGGGAATTGTTGGTGAATGAACTGAGGTGATTTCAAAGATGACTGGCAAAGGTGGCATCCATTCGTTCCTTCATTCATTCATAAATATGGATGGAGTACCTACCACGTGACAGGCGCTGGGCTGCTACAGGGAGCGAGCAGCTAGGCAGCCTCCGCACGCAGTGAATTTGGTCTCTGATGGTGATTAAACAACTGCAGCCAGCTCTGCTCTGTAAAACAAGGTCGCGCAGAGAAGGCCCCCAGTCCTTGGTGGCTTCCTTTGCCATTTAGCCTCAGAAACTGTTTCTACTCTGATCCCAACATTATGCTCCATCTTCTCACTTAATCCCCACAACAGTCCTGTGAGGGAGGCTTTTTCGTTTTGTGTTTTGTTTCCATCCTCTTAGCTGCTTTTCTAGCGCCCTCCATGGACCCTCTCAGAGCTTGCCTGCCGGGGGACTTGATTGCTTTGGGCAGACAGGGCCTGGGTCCTCCAAGTCACTTGGTCTCTTCAGTCACCCCAGGTGTCTAAGGAGGTCGTTAACTTCGCAGGTCCCGGTTTTTCCCAGGAGTGATGTTTTTCTCTTTCTGCCTGCTTGTTTTTGACATTTTGTGGTCGTTGCTTTCCTCACTCACAGCTTATTTAGATGCTACTGGGGAAATGAAGGTGGCTGGACAAATTGGTTGGATGGGCTAAGATTCTGGGGTCCTCGGCTGTGGCGTCTTTAGAGGAGATGTGTAGTGAGGCCTGGACCCCTGAGTCTTACCTTAAGTCTTTTTCTCAATGCTGTGTGACCTTGGACAAGTCCCTCCTCATCTCTGGCCTGTAGTTTCCTTGCCTGAACGATTAGGGTGCTGGGCCTCCTGATTTAAGATTCTGTGATTCACATGGCTGCCTTGCAGGTAACTGGTGACAAGGCCGAAGTCACCTTGACTTTTCCCTGGGGTGACTCAGCACTGGAATAGGGCTCCTCCAGTCTGTCCACAGGGACCTCTTGGGCCACCCAAAGTGGCTGATAGCATTGGAAGACTGTCACTCTCCCGCTAACTCCTCCTGATTGAATTGTCTTTTGAGCTGAAGGAAGAGTGTCCTCTCCCTCCGAGGGACATATTGAGAATTGTTCCTCTTGGCTTTTTCAGGGTTCTTTCACCTCAAAGGCTGATGTCACCCGTAGATAAGCGACTACCCTTTTACTTTGCTCAGGTCACCTTGGAAAAAGCAGTCTGGGCCAGCAGAAGTGAGACCTTGATTTATGGAGGGGCTCTTGGTGCCAGTGGGCCCTCACACCCTGCAATCACATCATTCCTGGGCTTCATGGGGATTTGGGGAGCTCAAAGTTATGGAGAAATAAATTCCTGGGCGGCTGTACCTCCGCCCTGAACTTTGGGATTCCAGATAGGCACAGCTGCAGAAGAGCTTGGAGATTTTCATGGCCTGCTCCCGACATATTTTCCCAAGGTGTCCTCATGATAAGACCCTAGGTTTTTCGGTTTGTTTGTTTCCATTTGTGTAGAGAGTGACATATTGCTTGTCACTAGACAATCTGCTAGACACTTTGTGTTTATACTGAGCCTCACTTACAAATGTGTTTACATAAACAGTCTCATTTAGTCCTCATAATGCCTTTTTGGGTTGGAAAAACTGTCCCCATTTTACAGACTCTCTCAGTCTTCGGATAGTGGGAAAGCAGAGCAGGCTTGGGTGGAAACTTTGCTTTAGGTGCTCTTTCTTCCCTAAGGGCTGGAAACTGTGTCCCCAATTAAAAATTAAAACCAAAAATCATTATGTCGTATCAACTGCCATTTGTACAATCAATTATATTCTGGTGTCTTGTAACTTAGGGCCACTTAAGTTTCCCCCAAGCCAGGGGGCTAAGGAAGATTGGATTTAGGAGGAAATAGCACATGATTTCCTTGCCTGGGGGGTTTATGTGCCTCTGAGAAAAACCCACCTCGCCCTAACTCATCCCTGTGGTGGGACTCTGGGGCCTTCTCATCTAAAATTCAGGATTGCACTTGCCTTTGGCCAGTGGGCTGTTCCTTTCTTCCATCTCTCAGCTGATCTGTTCCCTTTACTCTGCTGTCTGCAGGCATCTGTATCTGGGTGTCCCAATCTGTCCCAAACTGTACATCTCACCTGAAGAGCTTATACTTCTGCTCTTATTGGCACTATCATCTACCCAGTCCCCAAGGTGCCATCCTTGAGTCGTCTCCCTTTCCGTATCCAGCCAACCACCAACTCCCACCACAGCTTCCAAGGCCACCCATGGGCCCCTCCAGTCTCATCTGTCCCTGTGACACAGCCCCCTCTGTTCCCTACCTTGTTCCCACCTCCACACCTTTGCTCACGTCCATGCCTTGGATCTGAAGTGTCCTTTCCTCTTTCCTCACATGGCCGATTTGCAGATTCGGCTCCCACTCTCTTCTCCCTTAGCAAATCATTCCTTGGCCATCCCACCAAAATATCCTCTGCATGTGCCAGCAGTGGACAAACACTTGGTTTAACAATTACCCTTTTATATATCTGCCTCCCCAGACTGTGGGCATTTTGAGGGATTGGCCCATTAACTGTATTTTATTTTTTTCATAGAACTTATTCCTATCTGCAAATTTGTTTTAAATTCTTTATGAATATATTCAGAACCACCCATGCCAGAGGTCAAGAACTATGTCTGTCTGTTGTATTCCCAGAGCCTGGCACAGCGACCATAGGAGGTAGTCAATAAATATTTAACGAATAAGTGAATTCATCTTTGTTTCCAAAGTGCTTGGCATGGTACCCAGCACACAGTAGGTGTGCAGTCTTTGTTGGCCGGTTGAATGAAGGAATAAATAAAAATGGAGGATGAGCTGTCCCTGTTTCTCACAGAAGGTGAAAGAAGAGCTGGGGGTGGGGTGGATAGTTAGGAGAGGAGGGAGGACTCAGGCAGCAGCAATTCTTAGAGCCAAGACTGGGGTGAGGGAAATGAGGCACTCACATTAGACACAAAATTTAAGAGAGACAAAAAACTTGGTAATCAAAACAAATAATATTTATTTAAATAGAGACAGGGTCTCCCTCTTGCTCAGGCTGGTCTTGAACTCCTGAGCTCACAGGATACTCCTGCCTCAGCCTCCCAGAGAGCTAGGATTACAGGCGTGAGCCACCGCACCCAGCCCCTGTTTCTTTTTATCCTGGTGGAGACCAGAGGCTACTCTTCCTTTTAATATTTTTTTTTTGTTGGTAACTTTCCCACTGTATCTTAGTCTCACTAACCACTGTTTGTTTCCCTGTAGTTATTAGCATCAGAGAACTTTTAGAGTACATCAAGGAGGTTGGGTGCATTTTGGGGGACCAGAGCAGAAGTAGAGAGAGAGCCTGGGTGGGCAGGAATGGAGGGGGAGAGGGGAGGGAAGGTCAACGCCCTCAGCCCAGGCCTCCACCTGGCCCAGCCCTCTGACCTGCAGGGGAAAAGTGGGTGACCCCTTCCCCCTGCAGAGAGGCTCTGGGCTGGATCACAGCAAGCGACAGAGCCTCCTCCCCTGGCAGAAGGAGCCGCTTCTGTGGGTCAACACAAGCAGGCCCTCCACCACCGTGAGATGTGCAAACACCTGGGCTCCTCCGAGTTCCCCTCAGCTCCGTGGCCAGGGCATTTTTGTTCTAGGCAGCTGCACGACCAGGCACCGTGGGGCTCTAGGGACAAGAGCAGGTAAAATCAGTCTCCTGGAATGGGAATTAGACATAGTTGGCAAATCAAAATGTCAGCCAGCCACCTGGCCCCCACCCCAACCCTGCCGATTGTTGCTCTGAGAAGCCTTCGCCCCTGTGCCGGGTCACTCGATGGTCATTGGTACCACAATTTGTGCCCATAACGGGGATGACGGGGCTGTTGCTGCTTGCACCTGCCGCATTTGGAGGACTACCGTGTACCAGGCCCCGTGCAGATTTTCTCTCTCGAATAGTTACAGCAACCCCACAAGGTAGAGATTATTGTTCTTCACTTACAGTTGAGGCAACTGCACCTCAGACAGGGTCAACCACTGGCCCCAGGTCGCGCCGCAGGTCAGCCTTTGGGAACACGGTGGTTGCAGCCACTCCGGGCCACCTGCAGAGGGCGCCGTCGCCCCACAGACGTGCCCAGGGCGCCCTCGCAGACCGTGCCAACCTGCCGGTGGAGAGGGCTTATCTAAACCCTCTTCCCTCAGCCCACGCGAGCCCCACCTTATAATTAGACTTCTCAAAATATTCTCTTTGAGTGGGATGAGGACAATGATATGCTACAGTCTCCAGTTTCAAGAGCAGCCTCCATGGAACTCCCGGAGCAAGGAGTCATGCGCCACCCCCACTCCAGATGGGGCTGCGATTCACACAGCTGAAGTCAGCTCAGCTGCTGCCGGGACTTAGCAGGCGGCCCCAGGCCTTTGGGGGACTGTCGTGCTGCTGGGCCCTACAGCACCACACGCACACGCACATTCAGAGCTCACCCACCCTGCTCACCTCTGCTTCATTTCCCGTACCTGCCACCTCACCAGCATACGCTCCAATTAGCAGTTACTTTGGTCCTCCGGGTGCGTGTGGGTGTGTGCTTTGTAAACACAGCAACTCCCTTTCCAGCTGCATCTGGATTTTGAGCACGGGTCTCTGTCAGAGACGGAGCCATGCAAATGAAATGCAAAAAGGCGCAGCGGTAAATATTATTAATAATC